CTCTCCTTCGATTTTTCCCTAGTTTCTATATTAGAAATATAAAGATTATTATGACTTTCCAAGAAGAGTTCTATTTCACAATGATGCGTACCATGAGAATAATATTATCTGCCTTCGTCGTCCGGGTAGTAAGGGAGGCTTCGAGCAAATCTTTAATACAGTTTTTCGCATAATGCATTTAATAATAGATTTGTTGTTTGCATTGCTTACAGGCGTTTTGTGTATAAATAAAATTCTCAAAATAGGAGAAATAAATACGTACATAGCCCCCCACATACATACACACACACTCTTGGATTTAAAAATTGTGGGGGCGGGTGGCTTAACGTACACGCCGTTGATTCTGCGTGGGATTGTATCCATTTGACGCACTCACTCACAGACACATAGAGCATTATTATCGATAAGTAGAAAAGAAATGCGATGACAACCAGCTAAACGATGGAACGATGAGAAATGTTTGTATTTGTTCAATGTTGAATGCATTCTTTTGGAATCGGATGAAGACTTAGAGCGAAGTACATAATATCAGAACCTGTATTCATTCGATATATTTGCTTTCTTTTTCGTCGACATATCGAGTTTTTAATATTGTATGTAAATGTAATATGCAAAAATCTTTCACAACAAACAAACAAAATATGTCTTTTGTTCAACATTCGATTATTTTGAATCCATTGCATTTGAGCATTTGCAAAACAGCAAATTGCCTCATTCATATTTTCATATTTTTCGAGTCAATTTATTAGCCCATTGATAATGGAATGGTGTGATTATTGTCCAAATGACACGATAATACAAATAAAACATACCATTTTCATATTCAATAATCGAAAATTCGATATTGCAAATGGGTTGCTTGTAGTTATTAAATAAAATTAGTAACCAAAAACCAAAAATTATCGATACAAATACAAAACGATGATCCCAAAGAAGAGAAAACGGGAAAACGGGATAGTTGAAATGAATCCAAATAAAATTCTAATTGTTCAATTAAATATGAATAAATAAATAGAAAAAGCCAAACATATTTATCGAACGTATTGATTAGTCATTGGTTGATATGTACATATAATTTCAGTCAATATTGTGGAAAATATGTGAAAACAAATCAAAAACTGAATCCTGTTGCATGCAAACAATGATTAAAAAGAATGCAAACAGCTAACCCGAAAAAGGCACAAATTCAATTTTCTGCCTGTTTTGTTACGGCCATTACGAAATGGTTCAAACGAATACATCGTGCTATATATATGTTTCTTTGTCAGGTTTTTCTTGAACTAGATGTACCGGTATGCGGGTAAACAAACCACAAAAAAGGGAATATTTTGAACAGGTCAATGTGTTTATGTTCAATACATATTGAAAAGGTGCGATAAATGTTAAACGGCGGATAATTTTAAACAAATCATTTACGATTGAAATCAAATACAACATTATGTGCGATTTGATTTCCGGGGTAATTTTATTTCAAGGACACGTTTCAACATTTCATTCCAAAACAAATAACACATTTTGATTCTATTGACGATGAGAATTTCAATGGAACAAAACGAAATTCACAACATTTCGATCGAAATTTGATGACACACAATTGTAATCTGTCTTATTTTCAAATTTACCTGAATTAAGAGAATGAATGGCAACCGAAATTGTTTTGACAATTCCATAATATTTAATCCATCGATGATCAAGACAACAATTTTTTTTTTGAACAGCCGAAACGAGAAAAAAACGCATGAATTTTTGCCGTTTTTTGGCATACCGGATCCGTTTTTTTTTTGTTTTGGCGCATTGATTAGTTTGCCTTCTTTATTGCAAGCGACACATAGAGACACGAACAACAATAACATTGGGCTATTGTTCGAAAGAAATACCAGGAATTTTTGGTTGCGTCATGCATTTTACAATAGATTTATTGAATTGAATGCAGGCATGTATAACCAAAAACACATGTTTTACTTTCATTTTTGCACAATGTCACAATCGAAATTGCATTGAATACTAGATTGAATACCAATGGAAGCTGAATAGTGAACCAACAACATGACATTACAATGAACTCAGTTTCCCTATCTATCCCTCGAACCCTCTGTCGTTTTTTGACACCATGCATTGTACATTGGAAGGTTCTTTCTTTCACACATTTTTAAGAGAAAATAAATCCAAACGAATTTAAATCATCGAAGAGAACAAACACACGTTCATCGTTCCATAGAAATCAGCATGTTCGGTGCGGTTGAATATTCCATTTTTGGTTTTGTTTTCAAAAAAAAAAAAAAAACCGAAGAATAAAAAATTAGCACGAAAATCCATGCACAATCACACAAGTGATGTGAGAATTCAATCGTCTTTTCTTCAATTCCCATTCCTTCCAATTCTGTCCCTGTGTGTGTGTGTGTGTGTGTGTGTGTGTGTGTGTGTGTGTGTGTGT